AAATAGTTAAATTAGATTATCCTCTGATGCCAAAAGCAAAAAAAAAAAAAAAAAAAAAAAATTTACAGAAAATACAGGATGAAACAAATACATAATGTCATTTCAAAAGAGAAAATATAAATTTTAGAAACCAAACCTTTGAGAAAATGTATTCTTTAAAAATAATAATATAAAAATATTAGCCAATTATATAAAGTTAACATTTTCCTTACTTGGAAATGTATTTCCTATATATACTCACTTCTGCACATAGTTAAGCTATTTCCCCAAGTGTCTGACTTAAAAATTTGCATGTCACTAGCTTTTAGTGAACTCACACCTAATCTTATGAGATTTCTCATGAATTGTGCTACTGCATAATGATGTTATTATGCATCAAAAGCCCTCCACCAATAGAAGGGTGACATATATCCATGCATTCTAATTCCCTGTATGCATTTGCATTTGTGAACCCTCATTCCTTGTTGAGACAAGTAAGAAAATGTGCACCAGAAGTGAGAAGGATGGGTGGGAATGTATGTACAGAGGTATGTATTCAGTTAAGGAATATGTTAACTACTGAGATGATACTACATCTCTGCACAGTTAAGCTAGGATCCCATGTTGAAGTGGTGGTGAAGCCAGTGCAAAGACTTATCTAGATGAGCTTCCTTCAGAAAGTGCCCAAATGTACCTAATGGTGTGGTATCTGATGGCAGAGGCTCCATAGAGGCAGACCCATGGGAAACAGACTGCATCTAATCACTTCCAGGGCATACTATTTGCCTAGAGAAGAAAGGGAGGAAGAGGCAAACAAGCCTCATATGTTATAGGGATAGGCTGAATAAAAACATAGTCTTCTGAGTACTTGCATTCAACATGTCTGAGAGCCAATATGTATAGTATAGTTAAGGCACATTCCAACCATACCTTATGTGCTCATTTTTAATTCTACTATCGGGCTTTATTGGACAAATATCAGCTGCAGGAGGAGGAGGGTGCAACAGTCATGCCACAGAGAGTTGTATCATGTGTGTGCATACCTTGACTCAATTGAACAGACCTCAGCTGCAGAAGAGGGGCACAGCTTGTTAGTTTGTGCTCATCTCAACTGAACACGTGAAGCCTGCAGGAATAGGACAAGTATGTACAGAATGTGTTCACTTCTACTGAACAGACATGACCACAGGAGGACACAGGATAGTGGTGCATGTTCACCTCAACTCCACTGAACAGTCACAGGCTGCAGGAGGAGGGCACAGTATCATATAATGTGCTTGCTTCAACTCTACAGAACAAACTCAGGCCACAGGAGGAAAAAGTTGCATGTGGTATAGCTATATGAGGGTTGAACTGCACGACACTAACAGTGCCACCACCACCACTACTTTCTACTTTATTAGTACTCAACTGTATACTGCCCCATAAGTCCAATTGATGAGGGTTCTCCATGGTCTACCATCACAGCAACTAGGAACTGCTAAATGGCAGAATTCTTCCATGCTCCACTCAATGAGAAAAATGGTAGGAATTCACAGTGGGGAGATCCATAGAAAATGCCCAGATCCCCCTCTGTCCTTTAGTCCAGAAATGTATTTTATTAGAGACAGTGCAATGGGGACTGTGTAACCCTAATATTTTCAAAAGCCAGCAAATGCAAGCTAGGGAATCAGGCAGAACACCCCTAGTGGTGACTTTTCCATGTTAGTACATGGAATAGGTATGATCTGAATCTGACAAAAGTCAGATATAGAGATATACCATGAGGATATCTCAAGTGGTCTTGTGAAACACCTCATCTCACAGTGGGAATATATGAAGATAGAGTAGATGGTATGAGAGTTTTCTGTTATCCTGGCTCATTGCAGATTTTGGGAAATAAATATACTCTTGGAGGTATCATCACCACCCACCTAGGGGAATCCTATAAACAATAGCTGCAAAAAAAGAAAAGGGGAAATGTACTCACCTGCTTAGAAATGGTGGGTAGACTGTAGAATGGCAAATGAAGGCAAGCAGTAACCCTCAGGAGATGAGACAGCCAGATGTGCTACAAAGATGTAATGGGTAGTTCAACTGCCTGCCTAAAGGAGCTCATCCAGCTGCCATCAGAAATGAGCAGCAAGGAAAATAGTGAGGTGACAAATCTGATGGAAAGGAAATACCACACAGTTTGCAAGCATCAACCCCCAATAAGGAATAGACCAAATGTAGAAGTTGATGGACTCATCCTCTAAGAGTAGAAAGAGAGATGTCCCTGAAGGAAGAGGAATCAGAGGGAATAAAAAGTCAATGATAGGAACTTCAAAAGTGTGAGGAACAGGATGAGTAGCAACAAATGGCACAAACAGGCACAATAGTCTGTCGAACTCCAATCAATCACAGAGGCAGGAAGAAGAAAAAAGGTAGATAAGAGAGGGAGCTACCTGAAGTATCTGAAGTCTTAAGAAGGAAGGACTGATCAAAATAAAGAAGAATATAAGAGCAATGGAAAAGGTATGGGAAGAATCAATAGCATAAATATCGAAATGACAGTGATGACAGGAGAGGAGTAAGAGGAAATAGATCTTGAGAGAGAAGTGATATAAGATGCAAGATGCCAATGGCTTAAAAGGTTCATGGGTAAGAACAAACAAAACTATAATGAGGTTCCACTCAGTCATGGGAGTGGTGCAAAGAAGGTCTATGGAGAAGGAAGAATTGGAACAAGGTGGAGAGAACTGAGGAATAAAACATCCTATGGTATCGAGAAAGGCAAAATGTTATGGAAAAAGCCACCCAATAACTGGCAATGGCAGAGACAGCTAATTCATTGTCAAACAGCCAGGCAAAGAAACTAGAGATGGCTGACAGAAGGATGGCCAGGGACAAAAGACACACCACTTACATTGGTAGACAGACAAAGTAGAAGGGCAACAGGAATGAGAAAGGAGAAAAGTTACAGGATTGAGAGTCTGGTTCTTTAGGCAATGGACAAGAGAAATCCCAAAAGTGAAGGTGGAGAGACGAGACCCCTTGATAGAACAGTGACAAGTGAGGTTGAAGAAAGAGAGAGAGAGAGAACTAAGGTTGAGCCAGCCAAAGAGATGCCACCAAGATGAAATGACAAAGAGTGTTACAAATCAAGGTGAAAAGGTGGATATGTATAAAGGAAAAGATGAGATCAGTCCTGGCTGAAAGTATCAACAGCCAAAGCCAAGGGATGGGGAACAGGAGACCAAAAGAGAGAAAGTTTGGAGTTGAGAAGTGTGGCAAAGATATCGATGAGTGGCCTCTCCATTAGAGAGCACACCCAATGGAAAATTGGAGGGTGAAGAGACCATTTCATGGGCAGAACATGGTCCAGCCAAGAGAAGCAGTCCATAATCAGGTTCATAGCATTTAGCACATGGCAGACAATGAGTCAAATCCATTGAGAATTAGCCCAATAGAGAAGGTTCAGAGTTTGAAAGCAAAGAATCCTGGATTTGCTTTCCCACTATGGTTGATATAGGAAACAACAGTGGAATTGTCAGAATGAATCATAACTAAATGATCCACTAGGGGGAGTAAGAAATGGGAACATGTCCAATGGACTGCCAGGAGTTTGTGTGCATTGATATGGTGAGAGCATTCATCCTAGGTCAATATGCCCAATGTGAGATTGTCATTCAGAGATGCTCTCCAAACAGAGAGGGTAGCATCAGTGTTTGGTCTGGGTGGAGGTAATGGAACACCAATGGTAGTGTGTTGTCCATTTATTGTTGAAAGTTATCGCCAATAAGTCACAGACACCTACTGTAAAGAATCCAGCTCCTATAAAAACCTGACAGTCCTGGCTACATAAGTGAACCCACTACCCAATGCACAATGGCCACCATGTTATCTTTAATCAACATGCCTCCAGAGGCCACAGTTGGAACGTAACCTGTGTGAAGAAATTCTTCACTCACACAAGTGATAGTAGATGCCAATTAACATGCGAGTTCAAAGTGTAGAAAGAAAAGGAAATTAAATTCTTTAAGCTATGCAAGTCTTGTTAAATTGATGAAATAAATATGTCTGATGTGTTCAGTGCCAAGGAAATGAATAAAGATTCATGATTGAAAATGCACAGAGGGAGTTAGTGAGCATGGAGGTGTGTCATCCTCCAATTGGTGGAAGGCTTTTGCTGCATAATGATGTCATTATGCAGTAGCGCAATTAACGAGAAATCTCTTGAGATTAGGTGGGAGTTCACTAAAGGCTACTAGCATTCAAACCTCTAAAGCAAACACATGGGAATGATTGCTTGAGGGTGTGAAGAGGTGTAGTAGCCTCTCAGAAACATCAATGAAGTTCATCATTTATAATTTCAAAAATCAGATACAAGATTTGGATGGTTTCAAGTAAGTTTTATATATAACAATAATAGGAAGCTTTCTAAGTTAAATAGAGATTCAACAATATAATACTTGTTACTTTTGTAAGGAAAACGAAAATTTAGAGCATGTTATTTGGTCATGTAGATATACAAACCTTAGATTAAAAATATATAGTACTAAGCTAGTAATTAAATACTGTCTGATATTATATTATTCTTAATATCACATTTTATACATACAGAAGTAGGCTAAAAAAAGAAAAGCCCCTGATAATACTACTGAATAAACTATTATACACACTGTATCAAACTGAAAATTATATTACAATAAAAATGTAAGTAAAGAAAAATTCCTAAATAAATAGAAAAACTAGCAACAGGTTTTTGGATCCCCCTCCTATGTTTCCTTATATTATTAATTTTATAAGTATTGATATTATTTAAGGATCCTCTGTTTCTATATTTCTGTAAATAGAATTACTAATGGATCAATGATAATTACGAGAATATGGAAGCATTTCTGATCTTCATGAGACAGGGTAAAGCAGGATACAATACATCTATCCAACAGTAGATAAGTTCCTTGATAAAATTAGTTATAGAAAGTAATATCTCAGGCTGTATGTTTCACATGATCTTAACAAGATTTAGTGTTCCAGAATCAGAACTTGGCACAATTTTAAACATTGCTAATGCAAAAATATACATTATAGTAAAGCATAGTATGTAATGCTTCCATTCTACTTTTCTCCCTATTATTTGAAAACAAACATCAGTGCAATACTATCTTAGTTAATTGTCATCAAACCCACCTTCTGAAACTCATCAAACTTTCTTTGCAAAACTTCCACATGCTCTAAATCTTGTCCAAATTCTTCTGAAGTGACAAAAGCTTCCTGAAACAATAAAATATTGTTACATATTGATAAAAAAAACACAGAAGACTATTATTAATTTTAAAATTGTTATTAGCAATTCATATTTAAAATGTAATTCAATTTTTATATTATACCAAAGTCATACACAGTTACAAATATTATGATTACTGAAGCTGTATAACAGGTTAAAATTACAAAAAAAAATCTGAGAATACAGTTAAAACTTGACAATGTTTTAACATATTAAATTGTTGTAATCAGGTCAACCAGTATTAAGTAGATGTTAAAGGTATTGATAAACAAGTACTTTAAGGACACAAGATTCTCTTTTTAATTTCACATGTTAGAATTCATTATTTATTTCTACTTGGGATTACTTAAGAGAGATCTTAAAGTTTTAATAAAGTTTACTGGCCACTTAATTATTAAGAGAGCAAGCTATTAATATCATAAATCTAGTATAGTTTTTATTTCAAAACAGAATATACTGTTTCCATTATGTGATTCACATGTTTTAAAAAATATATTAAAGACTAGCTTTAGAGAAGTGGCTATTAACATAAAAAGATACCTCAGCTCTAACAACAAGCAGCATGACACAGATATTGAACAGGATGGGAAAAATCAATATAACTTAATTACACTAGAAGTTGATATACAGGGGTGGATTTAGGTCAGATGGGGCCTAGGGCAGTAGAATACATTTGGGTCCACCCTAGTAAATACAAGTACATACAAATTTTTTCAAAATTTTTATGCAAAAGAATAAAGTTTTTGAGCTTTAATTTCACACAAGTTTTGCTATGTAAAGCTGCAGAAAAGAAGACTTAATGGAAAATATACAAGTAATATATTTCCTACATGAAACATCAACTAATAGCACATGACCTAACCTTCTCAGTATCTCATTAAAGTTTTAAGACAAAATTCTAAACTTTCAATAAACCCATTTTTCTTGCTCTTAAAAGAATGGAACTTCAAATATCCTGTGCTGCCATTAATCTATAAAACAAAAGTTTATCACTCACTTTATCATTAATCCAGAACATGACCTCTTCACACTGTCGAAGAAACTGGACAAGCTTCAAAGCCTGCTGGAGTTTTAATCCCTTCTCAGCAAGACGTGTCAAAAGAAGTTCCCATAGTCGATGTAATTCTTCCAAGCGCAGCTGACACATATATGTTTTTTTTTTTTACTTTTTCTCAAAAATATAGTCAAAGATTCATTCAAATATTTTTCACAAATTTTCAAAGAACATTCAAATTTGGACTTGATAATGAATTATCATAGAATGCTATTAATGGCAAGTTCTCACTTTTACATTTGAGTCTTCTGTTCAACAAATATTAAAAAAATGGAATCTCATTACTCTTTAAATAATTATCTTTTGACCTAGTTAGTTCTATTAGAGAGAAAGATTTACAAGCAAACATTGTTATTATATTTCAAGGTTAATTCATTTCATAAAGAATGCATAATTAAATAGAAATATGCTTATTATAATAAACACAACCATAAACTCCAGGTGAGTAAAATTTTTAATGTACCTGACAATTTGACTTTCACCTTTATTAAGGGTTAGGTGTCTACTGTAGATACCTAATCCTTGATAAAGACATAAGTCAAAATGTTTAGTAAATTCAAAAGTTGTATTTACCTGGAATATGTAGTCATATCTATTTTAATAATAATTTCTAGTCTCCAGTATACACATACATATCTGAATTTATTTAATACTTAAAATATAAAGAATCAGACAATGATACGAGAATTTTCTACAGTAAAATAAAGGTAATAATTGATTACCAAATCAACAATAATTATTATTTATAATTTATCACTTCAATTATTAAAAAATTAATTTTTAAATAACAAATATAGGTTCAATAAAATATTTTTATGATGGCTTAAAGCAACATTTACAAATAGAAGTAGCAAAATGTTTCCTATAATTGAACATTATAATGACACTGCAATTTTCACAGCTTATCTTCCATTTAAATCACTTAGGAATTAAAATTTCAGAACTTTGTAATTAATACATTCTCAAATAACCTTAAAGATATGAGTATAAACTTAATAAAGTGAGTGCACAATTTAAGCACATATTTAATGCTCACCATTTGGTACCTGTTTAAAGGTCAGTGATCCCACACAAATAGATAAAAAATTAGCATCCCATAATATTTACTTTGCACCCAATCTCTTAATATTACTGTCGTGTAATTTTTCAAAGTGTGCTTTGTACTTTGAACAGAAATAGAGCACTTTTATGAGCTTTATGGTTAAAAGTAAGTAGCTATCAGTGCATAATAAAATGAAATCATTTAGTTAGGAGTTTGTTATGGGTAAGGTAAGAGTGAGTTATTAAGTGTAGAAATCAACTAGGAAACAAACTGAAAGTTTAACAAAGTGGGAATGATCAGCAGAAACAACAGTTATAAGGCTCTTTAAATACAGATTGGACTTCACTAGCATATAATGACTGTCCCATGTCAGACACAGATCTTGTTTGCTCAAAATTCAGAATCAACCTGTTGTGAAAAACACCCAAAGTACATTTAGAATAAACATTCTGTTTGTAACTGATCAATCAGAAAACAGGCCAAAATATCTCTGCTCCATGTGATGGTTCTCTGTACACAAAGTAAAGTAGAATACAATGCAATTATCTCATTAAGTAATAGAAGAGTTCCTTGACTGAAAAGCCTATAAAAAAAACATTTCAGTCCTAATTTAGCACATGACCTCAACTGGATTTAACCTGTTCCAAACTAAGGACTTAAAAAAGTTGTAGATATGAGATATACAATATGGGAGAGTAAGGTATGCAGCACTTGCATACTATGATGGATGTTCTTATTAATGTAGAATCATATTAGTATTCATAAGTGATAATAGGAATATAAACTTCTATGCAAATGTTTCTCCATTATTTTATTAACTGAATATCAGAATACTGTAAATAGTAACTTTTCTTTTTGAGGTCTTATATTGCAGAGAACAGATTTTCAATAATTTTCTCAATCAATTAATAAGTGCTTAAGTTTTGTCAGTCCCAGCCTCTCCTTCAGCTAATGCCTTCACTCTCCATTAGGTGTTAGTTCTGTTTCAAACTCAACCAGTTTATAGGGTAAGCAAAATGTTACAATGGGAGTAGGACATTTGAGGGATGATAAATGAATGCACATATCTGATTACTGAGATGATTGGGTATTTATTTCCAGGCTACAAAGACAATGGTTAAATTAGTGTAGGAGTTGTGTTCACAGTTTGTTAGGTGTGTTGGGTGCAATGGGTAGGTTTTATTTGGAAACTCGGGACTGGTATGTACTTTTAAGGAAGCTAGTAGTGAAGATGTGCAATTTTATGTAAAGTTTGTAGGTTGGAGGAGAAGTTAGAGGCTATTTTAATTAAAGTAGAGGCAATAGATAAAGAGAAGTGTAAACTGTGGGAAATGGCTGCAGGATTTCAAGCTATTACATGCAAGGGATACATCAGTTAACAATGACTATCAGGAAGTTAGAAACAGTACTATTAGGGCTAAAAGTAGTGGATTTAATTGGAACTATCGAAAGGCAGGAAAACAAAAGGGTCAGAGAAAGATGATAAACCTAAGAAGGTTATAGTTATAGGCGATTCCTTGACAAGACATATGAATAGAATAATCTGTGGGGCAAATAGGGAGAAAAGAATTAGATTATGCTACCCAGGGGCACAGGTGGAGGATATAACTGACAAGAGCAAGAGATATAATAAAGGAGGCTAGCAATGATGCAGCTTTTGTTGTGCACATAGGGGCTAATGATGTAAGAAAAAGTAGGCCAGAGGAACTAATTAATAAGTACAAGGGGTTGATAAAAGCATTTAAAGAAAAAGGTCATGACTTAATTGTGTCAGGGATAGTGCCAAGAATTAACTGTAGGGATAAAATTACGAGTAGGTTACTAGAGCTAAATGTTAGGCTTAGGTTAATATGCAAGGTTGAGCAGAATGGCTGGTTGAACTTGTGGGATCAGTTCAATGGGAGAAGGGAGTTTTTTGGAATGGATGGTTTATATTTAAATAGAGTAGGGTCTGGCTTGGCACAAGAGCTATTAGCTCAACTGTAAGGGAAGTTTTAAACTAGGACTTGCTAGTGGTGAGGCTCACAATAAACTAAATGCAAAGAAAAAAAAAAAAAAGATTTT